TATATTTATGCAACATCAACCCTTTCCTTGCCAGCTTCTGTGAGCAGGGCCTGCCTCTGGCTCACAGCTTAGTTTTGCTTTATGTTAGCAAAGTCTTGAACGTTACTTTGGTTCAGGCCTTAGGCCGCATACCGGGCCTCTGATACCAAGGTTTATATCTCAGGGCCTCCTCTTACTACAGTGACCATATGTATATAATACAAATTGTGAAGTGTTCAGTTACCATGGTGAGGAGGGCCATATAAGTACTGTAGATAGACAGTCATGTCTAGTCCTATATTCAATGGAACAAATCCATCTGTTTTAACGCTACTGAAGTCACACCAAGGCTGAATTTGGCCTAGTGCATAAGTCTAATGCGTGTTTATACCTAACCGGTGTGTTTATGGATAATTAATACATGAACTACACAGAGCTAGTAATGTAAAAGGATATATTGGAGAAAAATCTTTTACCTTGTTTTAAGATGGGTTCTATCTTGTCTTGTGATATACCGTCTCTCCGACGCTGCTTCCCATTTATATACAGGTGAGAAAAGGAAATGAAATTAAAGGTGGAATCCCCATGGGATTTCTGCTTTGCCTTTGACCATCCATTTCCTCACTTGGCTTACATTCAGTATCTTGGAAAGGTTCATATATTTTGCACCAAGATATCAAGCACCTTAAAACGTTTGCCCGGCAAAACGTTTCGTGAGAGTGCCCATCTTCCCAGTCCTGCCCATTGGAGGCTAAAGTGACTTGCTTCCCCATTCCCCTTAGAAGGAAAAACAACACATTGAGATACAGTGGCCACCGTAGACTACAAATCAACAGCAGCAAGCTGAAGCTAAACATTCCAGACATCTCATCAATATCTCCTTTGGATTTCCAGCTTGCAGCACCAGTGGCATGCACCTAAATGCCCTTACGTTCTTTGGAATCGCTTATTTCTTCTCTTCTACCAGTGACACCGGTATCATACGCAAGTGGCACCAATGGACCCTGGCCACTATTCCAGCCCCTAGCGGGAATAACAGCTGAAGGGAACTGCATGGTACCCTGGACCTAGGTTGGGACAGGGTGAATTCCATCTTCACAACCTCCCTGCACTCAGCCTGCACATAGACCCCAGATACTCAGGCTGCGTGTGGTTGGAATGAATCTGGCTCATCTACACATGTGTAATAAATACCCCCTGCACAGGTCAGACATCAATAGTTAGCTATTTTGGTCACCTTTATAACCCCACCTGTCATCAGGCCACTGTACCCACTCCCCCACTAGGGACTAGTAAGGTTGAGTGAAATATTCATTTTTTCCATTGCGATCAGCATTACAGTAAAGGAGTACGAGCTGGTTTTTCTCTCAGGATGGGTAACATTTCATGGCCATTGTATAAGGCTGCAATGGACCATGCCATCCTCCAGGTATGCATCCCCCAGGAACAAATTCCCCCATTGCAAGTCAATGAACAATCCCTGTGAAAACATACTGAGTACATATACTGTAAGTTGCAGTGGGTGAATTTTTTCCCCAGGCAAAGCCCCAATGTAACCACAACCACCATCTGTGCACCATTTAAGTCTCACCTAAATTCTACTCTGAGCACTTCCGTGGGACTCAAGAGCAGCAAAGCCCTAGTGCCAGCTCTGCACCAGCTGAATTTTACCTCATTTCTATGCCAGCTGCATCTGTGAAGGGAACAATACACAAACCATCTGCAATGCATGGGACCTTATCATTTGCACTGTTGCTAACTCTTGCGACTTCATAGTAAGTCTCCTGATATTTGCAGTTGATTTTGTAATTCCAGCTCCTAAAATCATAATTATGAAAGACTCGGTTTTCATGTAAACAAAGTTTCTAGCCCTTATGACTGGAGTCAAAAGTTTGAAAAACATGATACCTAAAGGCTCAAAACCCAGAAGGCAAATAAGAATCCAGTGTTCATTATTTTTCAAAGTGTCATGGCTTTAAAAACCACTCTCATTGGGACTGTGTGACAGGGTGCGCCACTCACCGCTAAGATGGCACCTCCTCCTGGTGACTAGCTCGTCAGATCAACACCCATTCCCACACCATCACTCTGTCATTCTCTCTGGTCTGCATCCCTTCTCCCTCTCCAGGAACCACAGCATCCTCTTCATGACTCAGCCCTCCAGCCAGGTCACTCAGTGTTATCCCCACCCCTTCTGGGGTATATCAAAGTCTTTCTTTCAGCTGTCCTAGGCATTCTTCCCATTCACTGCCGGCTCCAGGCACCAGCGCAGCAAGCAGGTGCTTAGGGTGGCTAACGGAAAGGGGCGGCACGTCCAGCTCTTCAGCAGCAAGGCCCTCAGTCCCTCTCAGAGGGATGGACCTGCCGCTGAAGTGCTGCTGAAGAATGAAGCAGTGGTAGTAGAGTTGCCGCCGAAGTGCTGCTGATCATGGCTTTTTTTGTTTTTGTTCCCTCCCCCCCCTGCCACTTGGTGGCAAAAACCCTGGAACCAGCCCTGGCTGGTAGAGGAAACCAGGCCTCCCCTCTACTCCAGGTTCCAGTCCAGGGATCCTCAACCCAGCAGTTCTGGGCTTTACACTCCGAGCCCTCATTTCTCCTTCCCTGGACTGCTTCCTACCATTCCTGGTTCCCCCCATTCCTCTGGGAGTATCAGCTCCAAACCCTCCTCCCAGGGAGTGACTGCTGCCCCGTCTGTTGCTAGCTTCCTGACTTTATAGGCTGCCTCTGTTCCTGCCCAGCTGAGCCTGCTGTCAATCAATTCCCTGCTCCCAGGCTCTACTTGGCCATCTTAACCCCTTCCAAGTGTTGTGTGAGGTGGACACCCCATCACAGACTGACTCAGAAATTTTGAATGGGTGGGGCTGGCAATAGTGAATGTGCATCAAAGAAAACATAAATAAGTCACAAGCAAGTTTCACAAACACAGACCAGGTTGAATTAGCATAATTTTGAATAGTGTTTATTTAAGATGAGTGCAATTGATCAGTACAATATATACTTATTGAGTGTCTTGCAGATAATACATATGGGAAGAACAGTTCTGTCTGAGAATAAGTTATCTTACATAGAAAATGGTTTCACATGTAGAGACACAATGACACTAAGCATTATTTCAAGAGACAATAGTAATTCTTTTGTGGTTTAAAAAGAAAAAAATAGGGGATTGTGATGAGGCAGCTGCCCCTCACTGGCTGGCAAAGGGTTAATAGCAGCCCTTGTAGCAACTGTGCAGAACCCAGCCAATCAGAGGAAGGCTTAGATGCAGCCAATAAGGACCAGGCTGGGCCCTATAAGAAGGGCTGCAAGGAAAAGAGGAGCTCATTCTCTCCCTGGAGCTTGAGGGAGAAGGCCTGGTTGCCTGTAGAGAGAAGTACCTGGGACAGAGTAGTGCTGGGCAGGGTCAGGGGAGCAAGTGGAGCTCCAGTCTCGCTGGCTCCCAGATTGAGGCCTTGACACACAGGCCGAGAAAGTGCTGGGGCTACAGGGAAGTGGCCCAGGGAACACAGGTAGCAGCACAAGGGAAGGAGAGGCAGTGAGCAGCTGCCAGCTATAGGGTCCCTGGGTTGGGCCCCCTCCCCTTTGCCCCACTGGCTGCCAAGGGAAGTGGCCAGCCAAAGGACTGCAGTTTGCCCCTGAGCAAGAGTGAGACACCACCAGGGGGGCACCCTGCTGCTGGACAGAGCTAATTCCTGGAACAACCAGCAAGAGGCGCCACGGTGGTGAGCACAACCCGTTACAGGGACCAATCCTGCAAGCCTTCCCTAGGCTGTACTCCTGTTAGCTTCAATGGGCGTTCACAACCTGAGGGGGTCTTGTAAGATTGAGCCCTAGAGTTGTAAGCATCATTCTTTACTAATATCTAGATTGAAGTAGCTCCCAAGGTGTGCTTTCCAAAACACAGATGAAGATACAGTCCCTGTCCCAAAGAGCACACAATCTAACCAATTTCATTACATTGCTACAAGAGACTCATCTAACCACAGTTAAAAAGAATAATTAAAAACTACCCTTAATAGCAGAGAAAGGGTTTCAAGGCTAATCAGGAATATAAGTGCTGTGGTTTGAAAAACCACGTGAGCTTGAAATAATTCATTATTTATGCAAGATGATGTCTAAACATTTAGATTGCCAATTCAAGTCAATAGGAAGATCGTCAAAGAAAGTTGGATTTAGATCTTATTCCACACTCATCACCATGGCAGCTGAACAATTTTAAAGGACCTTTAAAAATAGCATGTTGGTTATTGTATTCTGTTCTCTAATGAGCCTTTTCCATCCAGTCTAGTAGGATATCCAGCTCCCCAAGGGATTTCATTGCTGCAGAAGTGGTGTTCAGCTGGAAGTAGATTGAAAGAAATATTTGGTAAATAATGACGGCAATTTGAAATGAGCAAAAAGGAACCAGAGTCTTTGCATTAGCGAATAAAGTCTCAATTTACCTGTCCATAATTGCTGAGAATTTGTTTATATTTCTCTATTGCTTCCTCTCCACAATTGCACACATTTTGTTCATTCTAGAAAATGAAGACCAAATTCATTAGGCTTTTCTCTTTTAACAAGCCGTAGCTTTCTGATTAATATGGAGACGCTTATAGGCTAGCTCTTGCTAAACTGTGCAAAATACGTCATTCCCTTAACTCAGACTGCCTCGTCTAAGGATGAAATTCACCCCTGTATCGAGGGCTAGCCCAAAATCCCAATTAAATACAATTTAGCAGATTCAAATAGGAGCTATGTGGTGCAAGGGTAAATCTCAAAGATTCCCAACGACGAGTACATGTGAACAATTCTTTTCACGGTGTTTTGATGCTTCTGTTCCTTGTTGAAGCCCCTAGCGGTATGAACTCTCTCTTAAGCAAACTTTTTGGAACCTCAGGAAATGTTCCGGCTGATTTATTTAATCTATATCAAGTTTGTTCATATCCCTCATGTTAATGGATTTAACATACATTTTAGAGATAACGGATAATTTATTGAAACCTGACATACACATTGTCTGAATTTCTTCTTGACGCTGAGGAAAGAATTGGCTATGCTGCTGATTTTCCGGTTGACATGAGAATCCTCAGTCTCACAGTGTTTGAAGACCTTGTCCACGTAGAATCTTAAAAGGTGATGGATGATGCAACATCTATTGGCAGACTTAAGAAAAAGAAAAGATATTATTTCTAAGTGCTTTAGAAAGTGCTATTTAAAACACCACAACACACACCACACCTATAATCAGTGACCACTTCACCCATCACGAAAATGCAGCCATCTTTGGTGCTAAACATGGCAGTTGCATGGATAATATTTTTTTTTAATTCTGTTTGATACATTTTGCTACAATGTTTACACTGGATTTGGGATAGATTTTCAAAAGAACTCAGCTCCCAAGAGGACTGTCCTAGGGCAGCCCCTGCCTGGAGCGACTCTCCTGCAGCAGGCCACAGCAGGATAGTCACGCCTGCCTCAGTTTCCCCTTCAGAGACTTCAGTGACTCTATGCAAGCTCTCTTGACACACATGTACCCTCCTCAGGGCTGGTTTATAATCAGACATTGGGAACACCATCCAAACAAGTCCCAAACACATGTAGTTCATTTCTCATCCCAGTGCAAACAGTCATTAAGACTCACCCGACATCTTGTCTCACGATGCCCCACATATCACACACCAGCACCTCTGACCATGCCCAGATTCTTCAGCTGTCCTCTTCTGTCCTTGTACCAGGACAGCCACCCCAACCCTTCCTATTGGAGTGCAACTTCTACTCTTCCTAGTGGGAGCCCACAGTCTCTCTGCTGGGAGATCGTCTTTACCAGGGGAGCATCCCTCACTCCCCCAGCCCTCTCATGGCTCTTCTGGGTCCAGCTCTCTGATCCTGGAGACATCAGCAGGCAAGCTCCTTCACTGCTCCCCTGCTTTCTTTCCTCGGTTCTGGCTCAGAGCCAGTAGGTAACTCCCTCTGCTGTTCCTTCAGCCTTCTCCAGTCCTGCCTCTCTGGCTTTGCAGGGACACCAACCTGCAAATGCCTCTTGCTGTCTCCTGCCTTCAGCTTTCTCCCAGCTCCTAAGCATACAGTGTCTGTGGCAGACCTCACCTGCCCCGACTCCCACTAAGGCAGCTCTGATTCAGCATGTCTTGCTTATTGGGTCTCCCGGTCTCTGATTTGCCCTAGTTTTTTATAGCCCCTAGGTGCTGCCTTGCCCTCCTAATTGGCCAATGGGATCACCTGTCCTGGCACAGGGGAACTAGACTGACTTCATTCATGAGGGATGGTGTGGAGGGGACATAGCCACCCTGTGACAAGGACCCATTAAGGCACCTAAACAAGTTGCCTGACTTTCAAAAGTGAACAATAAGAGCTGTTGGGTGATGAGCCCTTTTGAAAATATGTCCCTTCGTTGCTGCAATGTGCCTGGAGCTTGGGAAACACACAAACCTTAAAATCTCCCAGCAAGTGAAGAATACGACTGAAATTGGTAGGGAAATGTAAGTGTGAAGAAGGGTATTACTCAAGCTGGAATGTGATAAAGTTGCCAGGGTTATCATCCATACCTATTAGGAAAAGTTCTATAGGATTTTAATATCAACAAGCAGCCAAGAACTTGGCTACGTGTCTCTTCCAAAAGAGGATACCTCCAGCTGTAACCACCTTCTAGTACGTCTGAGACTACTTACTATATTATCAGCACCAACACCTTCCTGCAGCACCTCTGAGTAGCCTCCCATCCCAAAGGCTGATCTAGCCTGAGGCTCCTTCACTTGTGGGAGCTGAAGAGAATCACACCCAAACAGATACAACTACAGGAATATACTGAGCAAAATGGTTTTGTCCCCTGTTCATTATCCAATACTATCAACATGAAATCTTGTTTTCAAAAGAGCTGGCTACAGAAAGAGGCAGTCATTTATCTTTATTCATGTAATCAGCCCATATTAGTCCACTTAGCTATGTGCTGTACATGTATTCATACTACAGCTGTGTGGGGACCAGAATTTCTGCTTCAAGGTAAATTCTGCAATTTTGAAATTTGTTTTCATTCTGAAGCAGAACAAAATGTTCATTTCTAAATTTCTTGTGAAACAAAAGTAAAAAAAAATTTGATTGTTTCAGGTCAATCAAAATGTTTCAAGTGAAACATTTTGATTTTATCCATTTCAACTTTTCTATTTTAAAATATTTTATAACAAAATATAAATTTTGAAATAAAAATACATTCTGAAACAAACAAAAATCAAAATATTCTGTTCCAAAAAGGTCACTTTGTTTTAATTTTTCTTTTTCCCAAACAAAATGTTGTTGAAATCAGTCCCATGGAAAATGTTTGAGTTGACAAAACACTAATTTTCTGATGGAAAGAGGTTCCCTTGGAACCTTTCAATCAGCACTAATTCACAACTCTGTGGAATTTTACAGTCAGCCTTGAGAAATGGCCCACTTAAAATTAGCTGTAAAGGATAAATTCAACAAAGAAAAGTTGTACGGAGAGGCAATAATGGTACCTACATTGAAATTGTGCAGAGAGTATGGGTATGACAAAATGCTTATGGTTCGGATGGCGTCTTTGGCTTGCTAAACAGAAAGAGAAAAATACAGTGATGTTAATGCATATCAGCTACCGGGATGTTTAGACAGCTAATGCATACAGCATATAAACAGAGCTTTTCTTCTTAAAAACTGAAAGTGAATTACATGTTGGTGACTGATGATCTCTGGAGAGCGAAATCTGCTTGAAAAATCAGATTCAGCATGCTCATCCACACATCTCAACCCTGACTTGGAGGGACCAGTGGGGAGAGGAAGAGTTCAGTCTCCAAGGCTTGTTCTGTCCTTGGCCACTTTGCTGAGACTGTCCAATGAACTGTTTTGTTCTTGTCTGTGGTGTGTGGCTACTTTTGGTTTTTTAAACTCAAAAGAAACTGAACTGAGAACCACCAAAACTCATTTCACAAATAAAGCACTTGAGACATCAGATGGGGACAACTTTGGGGGCCTGATTCTCCATTACCCTGCACCTCATGTTGGCATTTATACCAGTGTAAAGTGCTAACACAGCTGAACGGTAGCATTATACACCCACTTTGCACTCACGTGGTGATGTAAATGACTGCACAAGGAAGAATCCATCCCCGGGTCACTACTAAAGCTCCATATTGCAATCTCCTGAGCCACCCAGTCCCCAGATAACTGATTTTAAAGAGCTATTGGTTGGTCAAACCATAACTGCCCAGGCCTTTCTACAGCTACAGCGCACAGGGCAATACTTACAATGGTTGCTTTGATCGCTGTGAAGCTGGCTCTAATTTCATTAACGTTCATTGAAATCATGCAAGGTCCAAATTGGAAGATTTTGTTCCCAGTTGTTGGTGTCGAATACAACCAGCACATTGTAGAAAGGAGGCAGAGGGAAAGGCAGGAGATCTTCATATTGCTGCAGAATAAGAAACTTTGACTGGCTGGGATAGCTGATCAATGGGGAGAAAAATATTTCATCATTATCCTTCAGCTACACAATTTAAAAAATACACTCTCCGACTCTTCGGGTTTTGTACTAGGGTGAACGCCTGCCCCTCTCACCCCCCAAGTCAACAACAAAACTCCCATTGGCATCTATGGGACAGGATTGCATCCCTGATCCCCCTTCAGCATAATATCTGAACAGGAGTTTGCTTAGGAGTGGTTTTTAATTTTAAAATCTACTTCCCTAAAAACAGTTAGCCAAGCCATTAGGCCTCAAAGGCATATTCCCGTGAACACTTCCAGTTTTCACATTTTTCAGTATCTACATGAAAAAAAATATTTGGTGGATAGAAAAGGAAATACAAGTGTATATTAGATAGATTCATGTTACATGTTTATCATACAACATGAGTGCATATATATGCATGTAAGGATTGTGCAAACTCACCCCTGCGGTGCCTCCTGCTGGTCTTCTCAGGGAATTAGCTCTCCAGCTGTTGGAGCGCCCTCTGCAGGCAGGTGTCCCGCTACTGCTTGGCCCCTGCGTCCCTCCCAGGACCCAGTGCCCCTTTATCTGGGGGGATGCCCCTTGGCAGTAACCCCTTTCTCTTTGGGTCTCCCCTCCCCAGGGAACCCCCCAACCCTCTATCTCCACCTTGCCTCAGTCGTGGGCTACTGCCCGTCACCAACTAGCCCCCATGCCCTGGGGCAGACTGCAGCATCAGCCACTCATCATAGGCCAGGTTGGGTTTGGACCTGCTGCCTTTGCCTACCCCTGGGCTGCCCTCTGCAACCCCCAGTACCCATGGGCCCTCTGTTAGGCCACAGCCTGGGCTTTCTAGGCTGAAGCGTCCCCAGTTCCTCTGCCTTTCCCCAGCCCTGCTCTACTGAGGTACTCTACAGCCAGGTCCTTCCCTCTCAGAAGCTAAAGGGAGTCTGTTTGGGGTCCTAGCTCACAGCCTTTTTTATACAGGCCAGCTGTGGCCTGATTGGGGCGTGGCCCAGCTGCAGCCACTTCCCAATCCGCTCAGTTTAGCAGCTCCCAGCCACAACCGTCCCCCCAGGGCTGTTTTAAGCCCTTCAGGGCAGGAGCAAGGTAACTACCCCACTACAATGTGCAATATATATAGTATATTACATATAGCATAGATGTGAATATTTATAAATGCTATTTTTATATATCTATATATATACACACACACACACACACACATATATATATATATACACACACTTATATAGAGAGTTGGTTAAAAGTTTTTAATTAACAATTTTTTTTCAGTGAGAAATGGCTTTTCAAAGGCAATGACCATTTCTGTAGAAAAAAAAAATTTTTTTAAATACTTTGATTAAATGAAAGTAAATTGAAATGTTCATTTCATTTATTTCAAAGTTGAAAATTTTTGTTTTGTTTTATTTGTTCGTTTGTGTTTCCTCCCTTTTCTTTGGTTTTCCCCCATTTCTTTCTTTTCCCCCCCGGTAAGGGAGAGAAGGAAAACCAAAACTGAAATAAAACAAATTTTGATTTCAAATTTACCAAAACAAAAACCTTCCTTTTGATTTGTTCAGTCCAAAAATTGAAAAAATCCATAATTTATTTTGAATGGGAAAAAAAAGTGTCTTCTCAAATAAAATTTGTCATGGAAAAATTCATGTAGCCCTAATTACATATTTCAAACTGTTTTGAACTCAAAAGCAGCTGGATTGGAGGCAATTGCCAGAAAATTTCCCCAGACTGATAGTCGTGCTGAGACCAAGAATAGATACTTGCATCCAAAAGAGAATTTTTTTCCCCTCAGAAAATTAGGAGCAACTGAAAGCAAAAATAGTTCTGATACCTTAACTATTGTTTGATACCACTGAAAATTAGCTTATTTATGAACAAAATCTCATAGCTATGTAGGCATATGTATGTATATACACATGGATATACATATATACCTATGCAGAGCATGTGAATATAAATATATGAATTGTAGACAGGTACAACAGATGGCTGCATAGATAGACAAATATATTGGTGCCTTACCTTATTCTGTAATACGTATTCGCTTGCTTCTTGATGTGCTGTCTCACCTGGAGAGTGCTGATCATTTTTATGCAGGAGTAGGGAGGAAACACCTCTGGATCAACTTTTGGGATTCTTCCCACTTTTCTCATTTCTTGATTTCCCTTTGTAATTTTATGACTTAATTGGTTAATAAAAGGGGCCAAGTTTCTCTCCCACAGGGGGTGTTATTCCTGCACATGGGAGTGGAAAGTATTGGAGTTTCCTTTGTCCTTTGCGGGGGAGAGGCAGGGCTTTGCATAGGTGTTACGTCGATTAACCTGCAGATCGTAAGGGATCTGATGGAGTCCGGGGGCTGACAGCACCCATCCCTTTCCCCTTCCTTTGGCTTCCTCCTGTCTTGGAGGAATAGTGCTGCCAGGGGCTTTCTGAAAAAAGGCTGCCCCTGGACTCCTTTAGGGGACAAGGAGTTTGTGTGTGGGATGGAGACAGCAGAGCTGGAACTGCTGAAGGCTGGAGCTTCTGGTGTCATGGCGAGATTGGCTCCAACTGAAATTGCGTGACTCATGAGAATCATGAATCATGAGAGTTGGCCATGCTGCTCCCAGCAACTGTTCATTTGGCCGTGTAGGTCATGGTGGTCATATGATGCACAGGGGGGCCTTCACTCACTGCTATAAGGGAGCCCTTGCCCTCAGGTTTGCAGGCCAAATGGACAGACAATGGGATGCCTGACAGCAGCTTCCTTGCCTCACTCAGAGGATGTCTACACTGAAGATGGAGGTGTCATTTCCAGCCTGGGTACATATAGCTGCACTAGTTCTGATCAAGCTAGTGTGCTAAAAATGGCAGTGTGATTGCAGCTGCCCGGGTGACGGGAGGGACTAACTGTCCCCCAGGTAGGGTCTCGGATTGGATTGTGCTAAGGACGGCTACCTTGCTATTTTCAGTACACTAGCTCACGCAGAGCCAGCACAGGTATGACTACTCAAGCTGGAAATGACAGCTCCAGCATATACATACCCCTAGGATCCATTTGCATTTCGTTCTCACCCAGAGAGGGGAAATTTCCAGATCCACAGTGAGGCCAGAATTTTCAGAAGAACTCAGCTCCCCTTTAAGCACCGGAATAAGTGATCCTATTTTCAGGCAAGCCAGCCCTTTGGGTGCATGCTCTACACAACCCAAAAGGTTACCCACAGACGTGTAATTATTCCTGGGTCATCTTTTCACTAGTATCAGAGTTAGAGTTCTGGTCACATCAGCCAAGAGAAAATCCACCCACTTCTTAGAAAAGCTCCCAACCCAGCAGCATCAATGCAATTTTTGCCAAAAGCAGAGATTAATATGGTGACATCAGTCTTAAACAACCACCCAGTGGCAAATAGTGGCTGTCTTTCGGCGAGAATGATCTTTATATTTAGGGCCCTACCAAATTCACAGTCCATTTTGGTCAATTTCATGGTCATAGGATTTTAAAAATCATAATTTTCATGATTTCAGTTATTTAAATCTGAAATTTTATGCTATTGTCATTGTAGGGGTCCTGATCCCAAAGGGAGCTGTGGGGTGGTCACAAGGTTATTATAACAGGGGGTCTCGGTATTGTCACCCTTACTTCTGTACTGCTGCTAGTGGCGGTGCTGCCATCAGAGCTGGGAGGCTAGAGAACAGTGGCTGCTGGCTGAGAGCCCAGCTCTGAAGGCAGCCCCACTGCCAGCAGCAGCGCAGAAGTAAGAGTGATATGGTATGGTATTGCCACCCTTACTTCTGTGCTACTGCCTTCAGAGCTGGGCTCCTGGCCAGCAGCCACCGCTCTCTCGTCACTCAGCTCTGAAGACAGCAGCGCAGAAGTAAGGGTGGCAATAACCTGACCCCCCTAGAATAACCTTGCAACCCCCTGCCACAAACCCCTTTTGGGTCAGGACCCCCAGTTTGAGAAACGCTGGTCTCCTCTGTGAAATCTGTATAGTATAGGATAAAAGTACAAAAAAGACCAGATTTCACGGGGGAGATCAGATTTCATGGTCTGTGACGTGTTATTCACCGCCGTGAATTGGTAGGGCCCTATTTGTATTTTAGAGAGTGCTGTCCTGTGGGAACTGAGCCTAAATACAGGTTTCACTGTATTCATTGGGAACCAAACCTTGACCTCCTTACTCAAGTTTGACTCAATCCTTAAATTTAGCAAGAGTTTTGACTGAGTGAAAGCTGAATAAGCAGTTCTGTGTGGCCTTACATCAGGCAATTTATTAACGGCTATGGAAATCTAATTGTTCATCACTTTCTTGTAAGCCATTTGAATATTTGGCTTAGGTCCATGATGCAGGTGTAAAGAGACATGATGCAGGAAGCGCAGGACAGTTATAGACCTGGAAATATCCATTTGATCATCTGATTGAACATTCCATGATGTGGAAACACAGTGGCTCACGTAGGGTTTGCTGGGCACTCAGTACAGAACAAATGTCTTTGAAGGAGCAGAAATTCACACAATCAAAGGAGTTAGAAGCAGACAAGCCAGTTAGCTCACCCAGGCTGTTCCCCTAAGGGTCAGTGCACGATTCATCCCTATCCTGTAATCTACAGGACTCAGAGCTTTAAACATCTCAGAAGACGACCTTTCACTTGGGAGATGTCATGCAATTAAAGCAGAAATAACACACTGTACAAGGCAGGACAATATCTAATCCACTGATTACTAATTTCCAGGGGGTGATTAAGGATTTGGTTCCTCCTATAAAGTCCTAAATGGTTTGGGACCTGCCTAACTTGAGACTGTTTCCTTCTGCCTTACTTGGAAGATAATAAAGGTCTCAGTAGTGACAGTGCAGGATTTGGGGAGGCAGCAAGTGCCATGGAGCTGAATCAAGCAAGGAATCCATGATCGAGAATGATGATTGTTACGACTAGGACCACTGGAAATGGACAATTCTCTTTCACTAGCCATAGACATGCCCAGCCTCCTCTAAAGGTAGGTCTACATAGCATCTCGCAGCCTGCAAGAGCGAACCTCCCAGCCTGGGTCGACAGACTCAGGCTCGCACTCTACACACCTGTATCGACAGCTATTTGGTATTGCAGCTTGGGCTGGGGATCAGTTTATAGATTCATAGATTCCAAGGCCAGAAGGGGCCGTTGTGATCATCTAGCCTGACCTCCGGTATGGCACAGGACCTGGGTGAGTAATTTTTTTTGATGAGCAAGTTAAAGCTCTTCAGTAGTTTCATCCACATGGTAGGATTATACAAGTAGATTTTGTGCCCAGGCTGGTAAATTCTCTTGACAAACGTACAAGGCTGACTTACAGCCATTGTGATGTCAGGCACCCAAGTCTTCCTCCAAGTGCCTGGCACAAGCCTACCTTACTCTTCTACCAAGTGCTCCTCAAGACCATGTTGATGGAAATGTGGAATAGGAGTTGCAGCTGAGATCCCCACCGATCCATAGAATCAATGCCTCTCACCATCCCTGTTATTCTGCATGATAAGGAAAAACAGTTAGTGCAACTAGAAGCGGAAATAAATCTGAAGCAGGTTGTGGTTTCCCCTTACCGAGGTGCTGGAAAGCTTCCCTGTAGCCTGCAGCATTGTTGCACAGTGCACTCCT